AACCTCTAGCAAGAATCTTCCCAGACTGAAACCCCAGCTTCCAAAGTCAGCCAGCCACAACTCCCTGAATTCCTCAGGGAGGTGCCAGTCTCATCCTCTTTTTCCTCCCACGCTCTTCTGGGGAGCTAAGAAAATGTTTATCTCCCTGAGCCTGGCCTTCATAATTCCATTTCATCACAATCTGAGAGCTAAAGATGGTCAGAACGAATTACCCTGATTTTAAAAAAAATCAGTTTTCCTGTAGTTTGACCCAGAAGTGGTTATTTATGTACTTGAGATAACAGTTTTGGTTCTGGATGTTGGCAGAAAGCAAAACTACCAAAGACCCTAATGCACAGGCTTTGTAAAAACGGAATTGGTGCCAATATTAATTACATCTATCCAGGTGATATAGAAGCTTATTAACAGGAGCTGGGGTACTTTAAAAAAAAAAAAAAAAAGACCCACTTGGCTGAAAAGGTGATTAGTTTGAGCAATTAGATATTGGCATATTTGTTTAGCTGTTCCAAATGGTTATGTCCAGCCAAATGATTTTGCAGACTAGCCATTCTGATTTTATTGACATAGTTGTGTTGCCTCTAGTTGTTCATAATTTTTAAATTATAAAACTATTCTCAGTTACATGATGTGGATTGAAAAACTTTTTAAAAATAATACTGCCTATTTCTTTTTATGATTACAGAAATCAAACTGAACTGAGATCAATAAATATATTTTTCAAAAACCTCAGAGGCTTTTAATTTAATTGTATGTGATGATCATGCATATTTTAAAAATCTGTGGTTGATTAAAAGCAGTTTTGTAATTGCTGCACTAATAAGCTGTTTCACCAGCAGTGTCCATTTAATTGATATGGCATTAATTGCCCTTATTTTTAATGCTTGTTTTAAACCATTTTATAAACACTGATAATGGTAAAAGTAATTCTATCACACAGTGGCATTTTAAAAACTCATTTGTTTTTCTAAAATTCAAAGCAGCTTATAAAATGTTCATAACATACAGTAAAAATTGTCCCGATTGCTAAAATGAAGTCAATATACTGTCCCTCCCAACCAGAGGTACCTGCAGAAGCTGACATTTTTTTCCAAGCAATGAAACTAACATAACACAAACACTACCTTTTCTATATGTGCATACCTTCATCTTATTTCTACCCCATTAGTGAGATAGACGTAAGCCATTGTTAACAGTCCCAGTGCTAAAACAGTTTTTTCTCTTTATATTGGAAGAACTCAGGGTAGCCCCTAGCGGTAACAGCTGCATTGGGAAATCTTTTAGAGTTTAAAAAGGAAATACCAAGTTTGGCATTATTTCAGAAGTTACATATAAAGTTGGTTTTTATTTACATCTTCTGACTGTGCAGGAAACAGAAGGAATAATGTTATAACACAGATTCAAGACAAATAGACTCCCCTCTTCCTGTTAGTTCACCCAGACTAACCACTTTAGTCCCATTATACCAGTGATTCAGCTGGAGTTGGTGTTAGCTGATAAAATCCAACAACAGCTGCAAGATGTATAAAATCTATTATGTTTTGCTACCCATAATAACACCGAGGTAGCTGAGTGACCAGTAGTGGGTGGGATCAGGGTATTAATACTGTCTGTCCCAGGCCAAGGTAAACACAGCCCTCCCCAATGGTTCATGGACAGCCTTCTTGCTGCCATTCTGCTACCTTAAAAAAGCTGGACACAGTACTGTGCCAGTTGTCTATTAAAACTGCAATAGCGCTAGGCTACTTCACCAACAGTCCTCTAAATAATCCTACTAAGAGCAAGGCTGGAATAGAACATGGAGCAATCCGGAAGTTGGCATTTGTTGCCTATAGAAAGGGGAAAGAAATCCTTAGTGAAAGTGTTGCTTGTTCCTTTGTGACTCTGAAAAAGCCTACTCTGCCTGGGTTATAAATGAAGAGGGTCTAGGAGGAGGCTTGCGTGAGGGAGCTTAGAAAGGTCAGAATCACACAGCTATACCCGTTCCTCCTTCAGCACTGTGATTGGTGAGGTACAGAAGAGGGAGAACAG